TCTGGTGAGTGCGCATGCCCTACAGCAAATTAAATAACAATAATAAATTAATTCAAAAAAATGAGTATCTCAATGTGGTGGTTTTCCAGACACAGAGAGGATGAGAAGGAAGGACAGTGTCCGTTCTGGGGATCTCATATCCTAGAACAGGGACGAGCAAAGCTGTGGTGAAGGTACAGTGCACAGGATGGGCCCTGTCCCAGAGCTTAGGGAGGTTTCCCTGAGGGCCTGGTTGGAAGGCATAGACGACATCCCTCCTGGAGCCAGGCACGGGCCCAGCAGCTCCCCTGCACAGAGGGAGGGCACCCGCGGTCCGGCTCCGAGTCCATGCCCCCCTCCCAGGCTCTCAGGATCTCCTCCACGGGACCCTAGAAAAAGTGTACACTTGCCATGGCCACCAGGGTGGGGTCTGGGAGGGGTGGTGCAGGGTGTAGGTGACCTGGGAGCTGCAGTGAAGAGGGACATGAGTGGTTATAGGAGGAGCCCGCAACCCTTCCCCCGGGAAGGGAGTCAGACAGAGCACTGCCTGGGCTAACTCGGGATTCGAGAACATTCCTCTCCAGAAGCAAGTTTTCCCCAATCTTCCATCAATTAGATGTGGGTTAATAAACATCTCTTCAAAACCGGAACTGCACCTGCCTGGAGCCTGTGCTCCCACCCTGTTGGGAGAACTGTTCCCGGAAGGTCAGATGGCCTTCTACTCTCAGGCCAGCAGGGGTGGTGGGGTGTGAGGGTGTGGGGGGCCTGCTCTGAAGAGAGGTCTGGGACAGGCACCTGGGCGGAGATGACAGAATGACAGACACCTGGGCGCGCTGTGAGGGCCTCTGCTTATCCATCCTCCCTGCTGCCCCGGCATGCTGCTTTGCATTCGGAGGTTTTGCAGTTATGCATGCCAGGCAAAGCAGTTCCCGGATGTTAAAATCACAGGCTAAACTCAGTCTGTCACGACACGAGCGAAGCCGTGAGCACTCCTCCACCCGCACTTCCCCGCGTGGGCTGGATCTGTGGTCTTCACGGGCCGCAGCGTTCCCACTGAGGCCGCAGTGTGGACGTCACATCCAGCAGAGCCTGATGCAGCCGGCGCTGGTGGGGAAAGCGAGGCTGAGAGCGGGCACCGCGCTGGCGGCAGGTTTGGGCAGGCAGGGCCGGCGCTGCTCTTCGCGTGCCACCTCGCCCAAGCCCGAGGCTAGGCTTTTGTGAGTCCTGAGAGGGTACAGTGACTCACGGAGCCCATCCGATCTACAAAGCTGGGCAGGCGGCCAGCAGAGAGCTGGGCCAAGAAAGACAGCAGGAGGGTGGGGCTGCCCTTCCACCCCTGGGACAGCCAGGATGTCCCCTGCCCCTGCCCCCTACACACACACACACACACACACACACGCTGAAACAGTGGGGGCACTGTGAACCAGCTGGGCCTCTTTCATTGAGCAGGGGTGGGGTGTGGAGGGTGTGGACAGCCCAGTTGCAGCGCTGTTTTCCCACCTACCCCTCCCTGCTGGGCCTGTCTCCACCTTCCCGGCAGCTGGCCTGAGTCCCACTCCCCCTACTGCAGGCGCGGGCTTATCTCTCGCTGTGTGGGGCACAGGCAACCTCTGCCCAGGGAGAACGCTGGGAGAGGGCGTCTCCACATCCAGGAGGACTTCACAAAGTGCATGGGAAATGAGTATGAGGAAAAAACTACACGTGGCTTTCAATTTTTTCTTTGTTGCTCCGAAATAAACTCATATTTGAATTCCACCATGCCAGGCACATGTGTGCACATGCCCGAAATCCCGAGAATGAAGGAGAAGGGACTGTAGTGTGGCCATACCTGGGAGGGAGATTTTCCCCCTCCTCCTGTCCCCACCCCCTGTCTCTTTCTGGCGAGCACGTGAGCTCCATGGCAAAAACCTAAAAAATAATAATAAGATAAAAGAAAAACAAAACAAAACAAAAGAAAAGAATGAGCAAGCGAGGCAGAGAGCAGAGAGAGCAGAGGAGGCGACCCCGGCTGGAGCTCCAGCTCCCGGGAATGACACGAAGAAGGACCTCATGCTCCCCATCCCCCAGGAAGGAGCCGAACCGGGCCCGTGTGGGGCCCAGCTAGTGATCTCAGACCTCGCCTGAGGACGGTGCCGCGCTACGGGGGAGTCCAAGCTGGAGCCTGCCTGAGCAGTTCACATGAAGTCCACCACGTGTTTTAGCGTGAGCTGGTGACAGCAGCTCAGGGCATGGCCCCGAGGACCCGGATGTAGAAGGCAGAGGCGAAGCCTAAGTCCGTTGGCGTCACGGACTTGCAGGGCCTGCTCTGTTACTGTGCTGCAGCTCTCCCGAGGGGACACATCCTTTTTTTCTTTTTTGCGGAGAGGTTTTTGCTATAGGGTGTGTGCGCTCGCCAGAAAGACACAGAGAGACAGAAATCGAGAAATCACCCCCCAGGGGGGATGGCCATGCCACAATCCCTTCTCCTCCGTTCTCCTCTCGGGATCTCGGGCATGCACGCACACGCGCCCTGCATGAGTTTAAGCCACCGGGTCCAAGACTCGAACCACAGTCAACTATGTGGGAGTCCAGCGACGTAGCCATTACGCCATCTGCTGGTCCCATGGAGGTGATACATCCTTTACGAGAAGGGTGTCTTGTCCTTTTTGCCTCTGCAAGTGCTTAGGACTGCGCAGGATGCAGAGATGCCCGACAGACAGCAACAGAGCATCCACGCCGGTGCACGCCACAGAGGGTGACGTCGGCCGGGGGACTCCACCAAGTCCTCGACTTTTGGTGACACAATGAGGAATCAGTGAGAGAACTATGACCCCTTGAATTTGAAGGTGGACACTGTTCTGGGGGGATTAAAACAATCCACAGGGATGGGGCCAACAGGTGGCATAGAGGTTAGGCACTGGACTCCCACATGGCCGATCGCGGTTTGAGTCCCAGACCCAGCAGCTTGGATCCATGCTGGGTGCATGTGCGTGGGTCCTCAAAATCCCAGAATGGAGGGGAAGGAATTGCAGTGAGGCCGTGCCCCCAGGGAGTGATTTCTCTCTTTCTATCTCTCTGTCTCTCTCTCTGTCCCTTCAGCAAGCACACATCCCCACATCAAAAATCTCTCTCAAAAAAAAAAAAAAAAGAGAAAGAAAGAAAGAAAAAAAGAAAAAGAAAGAAAGGGAAGAAGAGGAAGAAAGAGAGAATACAGCGGGGAGGAACGTGAACCGGCGAATGAAGTAGAGGAACGTGGCGGGGCAGCCTGGGGGAACAGGAATTCTCCACGCAGCAGGAGCTCAACGGTCTTCGACTCATTCACTTATTCATTCTTTCAACAAATATTTGAGTCCCTCCCAGAGCTGAGAGTCTGTTCACCGTGGAATAAAGCAAACACCGTTCTGTTGTCTAAATCATGAAGATGACAGGGAAACAAGGGAAAAGAGGCTTAAAGCACATATATTACTGTATACACACTAACAGGTTGAGAACGCAAAGGGAATACTAAAGCATTTGAAGTGAATTAGGCCTCGAGCGCTATGCGGACTCAGAATGTTAGCTATGCTTGCCATGATCTTACAGTTTTGGGGAGTTTAGAAGACGTTCTCACAGACAGGCTGGAACTTTTTTCTTTTTGGGGGGGAGAGGGTGTCATAGGGCATGTGTGCTTGCCAGAGAGAGACAGAGAGAGGGAAAGTGAGAAATCACCCCCCAGGATGATGGGCACACTGCAATCCCTTCTCATCCATTCGCCTCTTGAAATTTGGGGCACACATGCACACGGGCCCGGTGTGTCTTTCAAGCTTCATCTGGGACTGAACCCTGGTCAACCTTGTGGGTTCCAGCACCTTAACCACTACGCCAACTGCAGGCCCCCTGGCTGGACCTTCTGGGCCTGTAACTAACTTGTACATCCTGGGCTGTGGCATGGAAGACTGTCATCCTAGAAACCTAATTGGCTGTGCTGGAAATGTTACCGCGACAGTCCTGAGAAGAGCATTGAAGGTGGATAGAAGAGGGAACGAGGGCCCCGATACAAACTGGCCTCAGAGCGAGACGCAGATGAAGTCCTAGGTGTGTCTCCCCACGCAGGCCAAAGTTGCCACCCGAGGATGCTTCTGAACCAGTTTACTGACCAGGCGGCACGAAGGAAAGGTCCCTTGAGTTGTGACAGACGGCATCGTGCCCATGTAACCCTCTTCCCACCTGTCCCCACACTGCAGGACCGTGTCAGGGCGGAGGCTGTTCTTGTGCACTGATGCTCTGAGGTTCTGTCCCAGTTTCCCTAAGAAAGAAAGCCCCACGTTCCCATTGGGGAGCCTAACGAGTTTTCTGAAGTCTTTGCTCTGGGCTGGCTCATTCTCACGCTGTAGATGGGAGAGACCTTGGGACCAGCAGATGGCGTAGTGGTTATGTTGTTGGACTCTCACAAAATTGACCTCGATCTGAGTCCTGGAGCCGGAGGCTTGAAAGTCACGCGGGGCACGTGTGCATACCTGCCCAAAATGCCAAGAGGAGAACGGAGGAAAAGGGACTGCGGTGATTTCTCGTTTTCTCTGTTTCTCTCTGTCTCTCCAGCGAGTGCAGGCACCCTACAGCAAAAATCTCTCTAAATAAATAAATAAACGGGAGAAACCTTCGCTCTCCTGGCAAGTTTGGGTCCGACTTCTTTATTTCAGGTGGACGAAGTATATGAGTGTTGTGACCGCGCTGTGAAAGGAGACGACAGCGTCCTGGGGTCCGGGGACCGTAGGGGTGCTAATTCAGGCTGGGGCGCCGGCAGGGAAGGCCTCCTGCAGTGCAATCTGGGAGGAGACTGAGGCAGGGGTTCCAAGGAGCCAGGGCTCCGGGTCAGGTGGGAAAGCGCTTAGTGAACTCGAGAAACAGAAAGAAGCCAGCGAAGGTTGGGGAGGCCCCACGGGGAGGGGGAGCCCTGTGGAGAGCGAGCAGGACCAGCTGGGACACCAGGAAAAGGCGGAGGCTTGCACAGTGGTCCCCGGGCTCCCCGCAGCTCCACGCACTTCGGGAGTGCAGCTCAGCGCAGGGAAGCTGGAGGAGAGTGGGGGCAGGAAGGCCCCACACACACACGGCCTGGCGCCCCGCCCCACCTCGCCTGGCTGAGGTCGGGAGCAGCTGGAGGCCAGGCGTGGACAAAGAGAGGGGAAGGGCCAGGTGCAAGCCAGGCAGGTGCCCGCTGCAGGGTGTAGAGGTGGCAGAGGGAGCGCGCCGCCCGCCGGGAGTGCTGGACCACCGACTGCCCACCCCACTGGGAGGAAGGGAGGCTTCGGGAGGCCATCAAGGAGGAGTCGACCAAGGTCGGGCGCAGGGGTGGCCTGGGGTTCTAGCAAGAGCCGGACTTCGGCCTCCTCGGGTGCGGGCGAGGGCGGGGACGCACTTGGTGACAGAGGCCAGCCGCGC